GCTGCGAGACTCGACCAATATGCTTATTTTTTTTTTAAAGGCCTAGACATCTAGAAGTGAAATTCCACGCATAAGCCCTTGCCTTCCAAAGAATTTCATAGAGCATATTTTTAGATAATCCACATGCATACATTTTATTAATCATTTATGAGTGCCCTAACACACTTAGGGAAACATTTTCAAACTCAAACACCTTTTTAAATGACATCATGTCTGTTGGTCTATATTGTTGTGGAGTTGGGGTCTGGAAGGTGTTCTACCCTCCACAAAACAGCTGCTGAAGGTTTGTCACCTATCTCCCTACAAAGAAACATCTGGACAGTGTAGTGGGCTGCTGGGACATCCGGTTGAGGCAGCTGGCTGGATTTGGACCCTTCATTCCAAGGGAAACTGCCACAGGGACAGCAAGAGGCAAGGCCACTGTCCTGGGGAGCCTCGGGGCCCACGGCAGCTGAACCATGGGAGGGTGGTCAGTGTGGGCAGCCTCTGGGAGTTCTCCCTCTGAGGTCCTCGGTGGAGGGCTTGCATTCACCTGCCCCTCTCTGCCGCAGTCTTTCAGTTACACATTCTGACCTGCAGACTAAGGTCACACTTGTGCTCACCAGTTTTCCATGGCTGTAACAAAATGCCTGGAACTTGGAAGAGGGAAGATTTATTTTGGCTTATGATTTCTGGAGTTTCATAAGGCCAGGCCACTGTGGGCTTGTGGTGAGCCAGTGTCACAAGGGGGAGGGCGGAGTACAGCAACAGAGTGTGTCATGGTGACCAAGAAATGGAGAGAGAGAGAGAAGGCGGGGAGGGCCAGGGTAAGACCTAGTCTTCAAAGGTAGACCCCACTGTGACTGGCTCCCAACAACCAGGCCCACTCACTAATTGCCTGTTCAGTTAGCCCTCGTGACATGGTCACCTTTCAGTAGCAACACCTGAGGCTCTCACACGGTGAGCTTTGGGGTCATTTTATATCTAATCATAACTTGTACTTACTCCTTTGTTTTAGAATTCCAAACTGATTTCTTAACAGTTGTGCACCAGCACTACCACGAGAGGCATTAGGAAATTCTAATGAGGAAGATGTGCTATTGTGTGTGTGTGTGTGTATGTGTGTGTGTGTGTGTGTGTGTGTGTATGCACGTGCGTGTACATGGGTGCACGTGCTCACACATTATGTTACGTAAGGTTGAGAAGAACTGCTTCCTGTCTAAGCAGGTAACATTTGTGCTTGCTGTATGTGGACAGCAAAACTTTGACACAGTTTGAAATGACACAAAGAACTGTAGTGGTTATTTGCTCTGCCTATGACCTTGGGCTATACGGCCCAAAGGAGGTAGTGCTTCTTGCCTGCAGACGTGACCTCTTAAAAGGAAACTTAGAAAGGTCATGAGTTCTGCTTGTGACCAGATGGCCAGATGGATTAGCTTCTGGGTGGAACAGAGGAAGGTTTCAGCTGTTTACTCAGTTCTGTATTTCGTGAGTATATTTCTCCAATAATATATTAAAAAAAATTCCTTGATACCCCTTAAGCAGACTCTCATGGGTTTCTTGTGTTATCTGGCACCCAACGTGGGACATGAACCCACAACCCTGAGATTACGAGTCCTATGCTCTACCAACTGAGCTAGCAGGGCAATGTAGCGGTATTTGCTCCGCCCATGACCTTGGGCTATATGGCCTGAAGGAGGCAGTGAAAATACCAATACAAAGAACATTTTAGGAGTAGAATTTTCCAGGCAGAGGGGACAGTAAGTATAATGGCCCTAGGCAGGGCCTTCCAGGAAGAGAATCCTATGCCTCCTAAACACTAACAAGGCCACTCACCTAGGAAGCTTCAAACGTAAGTCACATTGGTGAGCTCTGCAGTCTCAGCCTGACGTGGGCCAGCAGATCCCATTTCTAAGGAAGCTTCCACAAAGGCTTAGAAAACTGGTCCAACCCAGGAACCTAATTTTACAAGTGAGGAAATTTGTGTTCAGAAAAGGAACGTGGTTAAGCCTCTGGCCCAGAGCTAAGTAGTGACAGAGGCAGGCTAGAGACCACACTCCCATCTCCTAGGGGTTACTCATTCTCTTCTGCCCGGCTTTCTTCTTCCCTGCCCTACCATCTTAATAATAATAATAATAATAATAATGTCTTTATTCTTTTCGCTATGAATAGTAACTGCCATTCCACATGTGTCACTGACTGAAGTCCTCAAAATCACCCCATTGTACACTGTGAGCAGTGAGCTTATTATTTTCATTTTATAGATGAGGAAGCAGGGGGCAGGGGGAAGCAGCTTGCTCAAGGTTCCATGGCTGGTGTGACAGAGTCAGGCCACCTTCCTGCTGGCCTTGTGGTGCTTTGTGGCCTCATGCTGACCTTGGCAAGAACTTGGAGGTGATCCTGACTGCCATCAAACAGGAACTTCAGCTCCTCATCCTGTACTGGTGGCGTGCTAGCTCAGGCTGTGGAGTCTGTCGCTTTGGAAAGCTGCTGTGATCCAAACATAACTTACCTACCTTCTAGAAACTGTAGGCGACTTGGCTTCCTTTTAGTGCCATTTGAAGTCAAGCCAGGGAGAGGCTGCAGAGGGGTGAGGTGGCATGCTGCCTGCATATTGATGAAAAACTTGGCATAGCATTGAGTCATAGTTGCATCAAGCCACCCATCACTGGGACCTCCCAGCGAAGGCTTCGATGACTGCTGTGTTATTATTTATCTTGCTGTTAGGACCCGAGGAGCCAGGCTGAAGACCGAAGACAGTATGATCTGCCTGCTGGCAATGACTAAAATTCATGACACAGATAGCAGTATTCCATCAGAGTGCCAGAGCTGCACAGGCCTGCAAGGTTCTGGGCAGCTTGTGCCTCCCTCAAAGAACAGCGAGGATTTCATGGTATCTGAGTCTTGATTTGCTAGGGAAAGGGTAAGGAGAGGCATTCTAGGAAGAAGGGGATAGCCTTAGCAAAGACACAGAAGTATCATATGGAGGAAGGGTGATGAAATACAGAGGTTAGAAAAAAAAAAGTGTGCCTATCTCATTCTGTATATAGCTAGTAAATTTCTACAAGCCAGCACAACATGGCAAGATAGACTTCACCATGTATTTTTTTGCTAGCTGCCTAGGACATTGTCCTTAAGTCGCTCAAACTGCACATAACACGCTCCACTGTGTCTCATTCAAACACCAAAAACGAATGTGCTCTCCGAAAGGCACGGTGGTGTTCGTTTCTATTGTTCCTTATAGATTAGCGTGGTGTTTTGAATGAGAAATGTCTCCTTGGTCTCAGGCATTCGAAGACTTGGCTCCCAGTTTGTAGGGATGTTTGGGCTGATTGGGGGGTGGTGGGCTTCCTTGCTGCAGGAAGTATGTCATTGGGGGAAGCCTTTGAAATCAGAAGTCATGTGCCACTCTCAGGTCAAACTGGTGGGCAGGCTGGATGTGGCAGCGCCAAGCAAGTGATCGCTGGTATTTGAAAATGGTATTATAATGCTGCAGGACGTAACAAACTGAGGTTAATGATACATGGTTAATGTACCATTAATTAATGAGATGGGTGCTGTGGGATGGTCTGTATGTTAAATTGCTCTGATTGGTCAATAAATAAAACACTGATTGGCCAGTGGCCAGGCAGGAAGTATGGGCGGGACTAACAGAGAGGAGAATTGAGGGACAGGAAGGCAGAGGGAGACACTGCCAGCCGCCGCCATGACAAGCAGCATGTGAAGACGCCGGTAAGCCATGAGCCACGTGGCAAGGTATAGATTTATGGAAATGGATTAATTTAAGATATAAGAACAGTTAGCAAGAAGCCTGCCACAGCCATACAATTTGTAAGCAATATAAGTCTCTGTGTTTACTTGGTTGGGTCTGAGCTGCTGTGGGACTGGCGAGTGACAGAGATTTGTCCTGACTGTGGGCAAGGCAGGAAAACTCTAGCTACAGATGGGCCAGGCAGTGGTGGCACACGCCTTTAATTCCAGCACTTAGGCAGAGGCAGGTGGATCTCTGTGAGTTCGAGGCCAGCCTGGTCTACAGAGTGAGTTCCAGGACAGGCACCAAAACTACACAGAGAAACTCTGTTTGGAAAACAAACAAACAAACAAACAAAAAATTAACGAGATGGTACAACATATGAGACTGGAGATGTGAAAGGAGTCCTAAGAAGACTTCCTGAGGACCTTCAGAACAGCAGAATGTTTCTCATTAAGAGAGCCCCGGACCTGACCCTGGGGCATAAGATCTTGCCTATGGAGCAGTGGGCGAAATATGAGGAGGACCAGTTCTCCCCTGAACTCTGAAAGATGTTCTTTAGGAAAGAAAAGAGAGAGACTTTTGGTTGAGGTTTGTGGATACGCCTGGTCTCATCTTATTTTTAATGAAGTTAGTTCAACCTGAATCACAGGTTAAGAGTTATCTGCTCTGTGGATGCCTCACTGTAGATAAACGTCTATTATAACCACTGTTGGATGTTTTTTAAAAAGCCATGAACCGTTTCCAGTTCCCTCTCTCTGCCTTGTGCTTTTAGTTAAAGAATGAGCTCTCAGCTTCCTGGTACTGTCACCATGCCATGCTGCCTGCAGCCTGCAGCCTGCCTCCACACTGCCACACTGCCACACTGCCACACTGCCACACTGCCACGCTGCCATACTGCCACACTGCCACACTGCCATACTGCCACACTGCCATGCTACCACACTGCCATACTTCCATACTGCCACACTGCCACACTGCCACACTGCCACACTGCCATACTGCCACACTGCCATACTGCCACACTGCCACACTGCCACACTGCCATACAGCCACACTGCCACACTGCCACACTGCCATGCTACCACACTGCTATACTGCCATACTGCCACACTGCCACACTGCCATACTGCCACACTGCCACACTGCCATACTGCCATGCTACCACACTGCCACACTGCCACACTGCCACACTGCCATACTGCCATGCTACCACACTGCCACACTGCCATACAGCCACACTGCCATACTGCCACACTGCCATACTGCCATGCTACCACACTGCCATACTGCCATACTGCCACACTGCCACACTGCCACACTGCCACACTGCCACACTGCCACACCACCATACTGCCACACTGCCATACTGCCACACTGCCATACTGTCATACTGCCATGCTACCACACTGCCACACTGCCATACAGCCACACTGCCACACTGCCATACAGCCACACTGCCACACTGCCATACTGCCACACTGCCACACTGCCACACTGCCATACTGCCATGCTACCACACTGCCACACCACCATACTGCCACGCTACCACACTGCCACACCGCCATACTGCCACACTGCCACACTGCCATACTGCCATGCTACCACACTGCCACACCGCCATACTGCCACACTGCCATACAGCCACACTGCCACGCTGCCATGCTGCCACGCTGCCACACTGCCATGCTGCCCTTGCCATTACTGACTGAACCCGAACGACCCCGTCTTGTCTAAGTTGCCTCAGGCATGGTGCTTTGTCACAGCGACAGGAAATTAACTAACACAGAGAGGAACTCTGAATGACAGGGCTATGGCAGGAGGGCGCCAGACGGTCAGCTGAGGTCGGACTAGCTCTACCATCCACTCCGGTGTGCTGAGTTCTTCTTCTGCCAGTTACCGCTCTCTGGGGGTTCGTGTGGCCTGCTCTGTAAAGCTCTGGTGTGGAGGTGAGGCTCTGTGGGGCCCTCCCAGTGTTAATGCCACTAGGAAACCATCATTCGGGGCTGGAGAGATGGCTCAGAGGTTAAGAGCACTGGCTGCTCTCCCAGAGGATCCGGGGTTCAATTCCCGGCACCCACATGGCAGCTCTACAGCTCTAGGGGATCCGATATCCTCACAGAGACAAATGTGCACATAAAATAAAAATAAATAAATAAAACACTTAAAAAAAAAAGGAAACCATCATTCACTGCACACAGCTCCTGTGGAAAGGGAGAAAGAGACAAAGATCCTGATCCTACAAAGTCTGCTGTGAAGGCTGGACCAGACACGAATGAGACACAGGGCTGGCCAGGCGTGGTAGTGCACCTTTGATCCCAGCACTTGGGAGGCAGAGGCAGGTGGATCTCTGTGAGTTCGAGGCCAGCCTGGTCTACAGAGCGAGATCCAGGACAGCCAGGGCTACACAGAGAAATCCTGTCTTGAGGAAAAACAAACAAACAAGCAAATAAAACAAAAAAAGACACAGAACTGTGCTGGAGCCGGCTCATGACCAGCTCGGCAGGGTTAGTGACTCAACTTTTAAGAATTTTATAGGCAGGTTACTAAAACCAGCCATTATTAAAACTGAAATTACAATTAATTAGATTTTATTTTGAAAGGTAACTAATATTCTAAACTTATAATTGCCTAATTATTTCACTGGATTTTACCACTGTGCATGTCTCTGGGGCTGCTCACATCTATTTTATTCGCTCTGCAGACAGAGGTGCTCCTCAGGGGCGTCCGTCTTTACCCAGCTGTGCATTCACCCATGCCATGCTGGTTAGTTGAGATGAGCCTTGATGTGTGTTTACACCAAGGGAATGGGCAAGTAATCAGAGCCGGATGAACTGTTTTGCTGATATCTAAACTTTAAAAAATGACGAAGAAACTGTAATAACACATACTACAGTTGAATGTATTGTGTATGTAGTTATTATGTTGTGAAAGGCATAAAAAGCTGAGGGAATATTCTTCTAGTAATCAAAACCTATGATTCAGCTCAACAAAGAGGTTTCTGAGAATATTTACAAAAAGATAAAGTCTCCCCAGTTCCTCCTGTCCCCCCCACTTCTAATCCCCCCCCACACTCTGCCACCCCAGCACTCAAGAAACAGAGGTAGGAGGTTTGGAAAAAGTTTGAGGACAGACTGGTCTCATAATGAGTTCCAGGTCAGTGTGGGCTACAGAGTGAAAGCCTGTCTAAAAAAAAAAAAAAACACCAACAGCCCTGTTTCCTGCTTCCTGGTGTGACCGGACTGCCAGGTGAGTTCGCTCCCGGTCAGATCAGAGGACATATTCAGCTCTCCACTTAGTTCTGTATTCGTGAGTGTGTTTCCTCAATTTACATCCTAATAAATTCCCTAATACTCCAAAAACAACAACAACAAACAAACAAGTTCTTACATATTATTACTGTTTCACACTATCTTATTCATTCAAATAAAAATAATAACCCATATCATGTCATAATGACCCTCACTTGCTAATGCTGCCACAGGTTGGCTGCATAGTCAAAATCTCAGCCGTAATCAATAAAATCAATGAAAGCATTTTGAGATTTATTTAGCTGTATGAAATTTACAATAAATGATATTGTGATAGTTAATTTTTATGTCAGTATGATTGAGCCAAGGGATATCAAGTTAAAAACATTACTTCTATCTGCCGTGAGGGTGATCCTGGGAGAGACTGGCCCAGTGCATCAGCCACAGACAGACGGGAAGACAATGAGGCAGAGGAGTTTTTTCTCTCTTCTTGAGCTAGGCTATCCATTTCCTCCGACCATTGGGCATTGGACTGCCCAGTTCTCTGGTCTTTAGAGTTGCCAGAACTTACACAATGGACTACTGACCCTCAAATTTCATTCTCGGGTCTCAGGCCTTTCTTCCTGAGTTGGGAGTGCTGTTGACTTCCTTGAGTCTCAGCTTTTCAAATCCAAGCTGGCTTTCTTGGCTTTCCACCTTATGGACAAGTGGTTACGAAACCTCTTGGCCTTTCTAATTGTGTGCATTAATTCCTATAATCTTCCTTTATGTGTCTCTATACAGACTATTATTAACATGACAGGCCTAACACAAGAATTATACGCTATTATTTTTGAGTTATGTGCTATATGTTCTTTAAATCAATTTTTTTTCTTTTTGAAACAAAGTGTCAAAACTAGTTAGGTAGCCTGGGCTAGACTGGAACTCATTATGTAGCCCAGGCTAGGCTTGAACTTACAGCCGTTCTCTTGTCTTAGCCTCTAGAATGCCAGGATTTTAGGCATGTACTACCATTTCCAAAGTAGATAAATAAAATTTATAATAAATTTATATCTATTTATCTGTCTGTCTGTCCATCCTTCCGTCTGTCCGTCCGTCCGTCCACCCAGCCATCCATCTTTCCCCTCAGCATCCAGTTGCCAAGCCCTCCTTTTAAGCTGACAGAGAAGAGAGGGACATGTCACACACATAAGGCAATCTCTGGAGCACAGAACTGACTTGCTTAGGTGCACAGGGTCCCCGAGAAGCCAGTGAAAAGCAAGATGCTCAACCCAGAGTCAGCTGCAAGGTGACTGCCTCCTTTATCAAACACAATCCGCCTTATTCATGGAGCCCTAAGTCCCTCCCTCCGGCACCTTCCTCCCGGCCTCTCAGGTCGGCTGCTGGATACTGTCTCTCTTCCTAGTGGCAAGCTCCAGGAACCCAGACCTGAGCTTGGCATCTCATTCATGAAAGCTGATGCCCTCTTTGTTCTCGGGCTGGCCACATGTGCCCTTGCCTCATACCTGCCCACGCTCTTCCTCTGTGGAGCAATCCACCCTAGACTCCCATAGGGCTCAGACACCTCAGTACTCAGTGTGACCTCCCTGAGCGTCCACTCTAAAATCCCACTTCCTCTTCTTTATCCTGTGCTGTTTTCTCTCCTTCGTGGTTGTGCCCATCACGTTGGGTAGGACACATTTGTTTGTAATCTAACTCGTCTACGCATGTGTGAGCTCTGAAGGGCACAGAGGTCTGTCTGCTTCTCAGACTCGAATCCTTCCTGGCACAGAATATGTGCTCAGTAAGTTTTGCTTGAGGAATGAAGGAGTGAGCTTAGCTCAAAGGCTTCTTTTGTGTCCAGGATTCTGCAGCATCTCCAGCTTTCCTTCCATTGCCGTGGGATATTTAGGTGGAGGTGCAGGGTGACCTGAACAAAGTGGACTCCTACCCAGGAGCAGGAAGCTACTGGCCTGCTGGCTGCCTCCTGGGGGGCATGCTCCCCACCCAGTGTGCTTGGAGACTTCCCCAGGTAACTCCACAGAGCAGGGAGGCTTTGGTGCTGCCCCTCATGCACTTGCGCCCATCTTCCGTTCAGGGTGTGTTGACAGACGCATCCTGTCTTCCACCTCTAGCCAACCATCCTTGTTTAACTTTCGGGAAGATGAATGTCTCCTGGCTTTGCTTCGGAATCTCATCTCTTTGACTTAAAGAGGCTGACAGGGTGGGAGAAACAAAGGCTGTTTAGGATTTGGTCTCCCCAATTGTTTGACTCGGTAAAGAGATAAATAAAAGGGAGGAGGGGGGAGGAAAGAAAGAAAAGGGGGTGTGGGCTCAGCCCACCAGCTGTGGGTCCCTGATGGGCCTGCCTGATGCAGCCACATTATGCAGGGGCTGGTGCACCTGTGATCAGTTAATGAGAAAAATCCCCAAGTGCGGCTCCCACACAGGCTCCCATTAGGGCCCCACAGGGGGAGCCCCGCCCCTGGCAAGTTTCAGTGACAGGTGGGATTACTCTCCACAGGTTGGGCTTGGGGACACTCCATCTCTTTCCCCCTTGCAGTAAAGAGGAGTTTGGTGTGAGCTCTCTGCTTGTTTTCCTTGGGTTTTTAGATTTTGAAGCTTTTTTTTTTTTTTTGGTTTTTTGAGACAGGGTTTCTCTGTGTAGTTTTGGTGCCTCTCCTGGATCTCACTCTGTAGACCAGGCTGGCCTCAAACTCACAGAGATCCACCTGCCTCTGCCTCCCGAGTGCTGGCATTAAAGGCGTGCGCCACCATGGCCCGGCCTTGAAGCTGTTTCTCAATGTAAAGCTAAAAGCAGCAAATAAAATGTAAGCCTCCCAGGGGTGTCCTCCAGTGGGTCAAAGTCAAAAGGAAATCTGCATGAAGCTGTTGGAAGATCAAGATGTTGTTGCTAGTGAAGGTCACTCCCTTCTCTTCCCACATGGGGAAACTAAGTCCCACTGAGGGCCTTGGTTGGATGGCAGTGGGCAATTTGGCGCCAGGAAGGGTGAAATCACTTGCCGAGGAGCAGCATGATACTAGACAAAGCCGTCGGAGTCTTCTCTCCTCGATGCTTACCTGTAAAATGAGGCAAAGGACTGTGGCCACTTGGCAGAATCCGTGTGAGGTAAAACAGGGAAATGTCTAAGTCAAGGCCGCCTTAAGCAAGCACTGGACTTTATGGCTATTATGGTCCTCTCCTTGGGGATTAGAATCAGACAAAAGACGTAGGTGGGTAGGTACATAGCTGCTCTGAGGCCACTCACTTTGGTCCCATCAAGTCATTCTGAGTGTCTCTGTTAGGCCACATACTCTGGAGGGCACTGGCTGTGCTCATCTATGGGTGCCAATGTGAGAAGAAGGCTCGCAGTGCTCCTCAAAGTCGCTGGAATGAGAACCGGTTAGAAGTCAGAGGAAGTGACTGCTAGAAACTGGTCTCATATGCTCGCCCCCAATCTCTGCCGGCTGCCTCATC